GCCGCCAGTCGTGCGGACCTGAGGCGGCTACAGACGCAACAGCTCGGTTCGCTGCAGAGCAGTGGGGGCTTGGTGACGCGTGAGGATAGCAGAAAGGCGGAGGGTCGAATGGGGAGGACCAGTGATTGCGAACTCTATTTAAGCGAGAGACAGAGATGTGCTCATCTGCTAAAACCGCCGCCTTTTTCCCTTCCGCAGCCCCCCGTTACGCAGCACTGCCCCCGAGACGCTCAACGGCGGCGGCTGGGAACAAGCAGCAGTCCGGTCGGCGGAGGCCTGGGGAGGTACTGATCGGAAAGAGAAAATACAAATAGGGAGAAAGTTTGCGTGAGGAAAGAAGAGAACGGTGAGCTGGGGGGAGGAGATAATCCCTTCTTCTGGGGCTGTTGGTGTCACCTCTCCACCTGAATTAAGTGCACCTAATTGATTTCCCTCACAGCTCTCTCGGCTGCAAGGTGAGACGAATGCGCTAAACCAGGGAGGCGTGGCAGCAAGCAGCAGGGGACTCAGCATTTCATTCCTCCAGTAAGACTTTTCCTGGTCTTTGTTCTGATTTTACTTCTGTAAGGACAGAAGGGAAGATGGTAAATGATCTTTGTCAGAGGCAACAGCAACGCAAAGCCAGGGATTTTTTTTTTTTTTTTTTTAAGTGCTCTGCCCCAGCTAGGTTGGAGGCAAAAGGGGGCACGTGTCACGCAGAGGAGAGAGCTGGACCTGGGAGCATGCAGCCCTGCGCTTTGCTGGAAACCAGAGCCAAAGGCGGTTTGTGATGGGCTGGAGTGACTGGGCTGACCTGTGGCCAAGCCCTGCCCGAGGCTGTGCGGGGTCCAGTGCCAGGTGGCGAGGAGATTTTCCCTGCCAGACCACAGGCAGGGAAGATGCTCCTGTGAGATGGGCAGTGATAGCTGGAGATGGGGCACGTGTCGCAGGTGTTGTACGAAGCGTCTCTCTTTGTAGACACACACAAGCCCCCCTCATCACATGCACTGACACTCCTGCTGCTGCTCTGGCCACGCTCCAGCCCCTCCATGGCCGCCTTGGGGTGAGGGGCCCAGCGCTGAGCACAGCATTCGAGGGGCGGCCTCACCAGGGCCCAGCACAGGGGAACGATTCCTGCCCTGGTCCACCACCCTCCCTTCCAAGAGGAAGGACCATTTTCAGGTCTCTTGTTGTAGACAGACGCTCCTGCTGCTCTCTACCTACCAGCCCCCGAGAGCTTGAACACCCCATAGCACAGCTCCGCTGCCAGGGAGAAGAGAGCCCCCGTTCTTTCACACCAGCGAACATTTCCCCAAGCCTCACCAGGGCTGAGGAAGCCCTGCGCAATCTTGCCCCTGAGAAGAAAGACGCAAGACAGGAGTTTCAGTGAACTACACGCACCCCAGTGTTTATTAACTCCAGCTTAGTGTGACAGGCACACCGCTGCATCCACGGGATCTCTCCCCACACTCTAAGCTTGCTCCTTATGCCTCTTCAGCAGCTCCCGCAGCTGCTCGATCTGGGCAGTGACGCTGCTCTTGGCGGTGCCGCCCATGGCCGTGTACTGCTCCACGCTGTTGACAACGTTGAAGACCTGGGAGACGTCGCTGCCGAACAGGGGGCTGGGGGGGAAAGAGCAGAGGGGTCGGGGGAGAGCGCTGGTGCTGCGTGCTGGCCTGACCGGCTCACTGCCTGCAGAGACGGGGAGGGCGCGCAGACGCAGCCTTTCTCCAAGGGGAAAGGCCTCCTGCAGCCCTGCTTCTGCACCTCTGGTGCCTGGCAGTAGCCGCTTGTGGCAGACCCCAGGGGAGTCAGCTCCAAGGGGAGAGCGAGGAGGTTTGGGGCCAAGGCCTGAGTTTCTTCCAGTCCCTCCCAGTAGCTGCTGCCCGTGCCCCGCTGGAGCTGAACGGGAGGGATGCCGTCCCCCTGCAGTTCTTTCCGGCCCAGCAGCAGCAGCAGCGCTGCTATTCAGGCCAGGAGGCTTTTGGGGAGCTGCCTGGCCCAGGCGTTTGGGGCAGCGGCGCCATAAGCAGGCCCATACGAAGGGAGGCCGGTACCCGCCTGCTGAGGGCAGGCGCGGCAGAACCACGGGGGTACGAACCTGATGCTCTTCAGGTCTTCCAGGCTGAGATTATTGATGGTGGTGCCTTTCGACTCGGCGAGGTGGACGGCCTTCCCAGAGGCAACGTGGGCTTGTCTGAATGGCATCTGCAGTGAGAAGCAGAGGCCGCAGTCAGTGACCAGGCACCTGGGGTGCAGCCTCAAAGGAAAAAATGGATGTGCTGTCTTCTTGGGTGGGCTTGTTTTCACTTAGGGTAATGCCATGTGCATCCAGGTTTTCTGGGGTGTGAAGAGGGGAGGCGTTAGGAGGTAAAACTCCACCTGTAAATTACAATCAAGTCCACCTGGCAGCAGTTCCACTACTTGGGATACATGTAAACAATGGGTTTCCAGCTTTCCTGTTTGTGGACCCAGGCTGCTCATCACCTGGGGACAGAACAGAAGGCCTCATCTCAGGCCCTCGCTGAGCAGTGTTCTGCATCCAAAGAAATCACGGCTCCACGCCTCCCTCTGATACTTACTCCTTTACGAACCAAGTAGAGAGCCAGATCAGTAGACAGCATCTCAGGGCTCAGAGCCTTCTCCATGTTCTCCCTGTTGATCTGCAGAAGGATGGTCAGAGGGAGACATTATCATCAGCTCCTCCTTGGGGACATGTTCGCTGACATTGGGGGCCATAATGACGAGTACGGGTGAGCCACTGAAGAGCCTTCATCTTAGGACCAGCCCAGAGCACCTTGACCTGTGCTGCTCCCAGAATGTGCACCCCAGCCACGTGCAACAGAGAGAGGCTGAAGCCTTACCTGGAGGGTAGAAATCACTCCGGTGGCCACCTGGAGCACAGCATTCAGGGTGTCCACAACATCAAAGACGGCCTCCTTGTCCTCCTGCGGTGGAACAGGGATGGAAATGGCTCTAAGTCAACCTGATGCAGCCCAGAAGCCAACGGCCTGAGCAGCCCGGCCAGCAGAGCGAGCAGGGCCGGCATCCCAGGGGCTCCTGCGAGGGTCGGGGCTGTCGACGGCAGCGTGCCGTGCCTCAGCCCCTTCCTCAGCACCCCGCGCGCAGCAGGGCCTGCCCAGGGAAATGTAGCGCGAGGCTGCTCGAGAGCAGGAGAGAGCTGTGTCTGCTCAGAGAGGTGGTGGAAAACTAACGTCTGTTTTACCTGCAGATCCTTGTTGTAGGTGCTCGGAAGTCCTTTGAGAACCATGAGAATAGCAGCCAGCTGCAGAGAGAAAGAGGTGAGGCGGTTGGCTCTAAGAAGAGAAGCACGTGGCCCCAGCAGAGGCTCAGAGCTCAGACTGGGCACCTTTCTTTACGCAGAGGCAAGAAGAAACAAGATTCTTCAGCCCCGCTATGAGCGGTTTCCCCATCCCGCTTCTTTCGTTAGCAGGCTCACCCGTCCGAACACTCGTCCCGCTTTGCCGCGGATCAGTTCCAGGCTATCGGGGTTCTTCTTCTGAGGCATCAGGCTGCTGCCAGTGCTGAAAGAAAGGCGTTTGGAGTGCACCGGTGAGCAAGACCCCAGTCCCTACAGGCACAGGTCCTGCAGCGGCCCGACCGAGCCCTCCAAAGGTGAGAGGTAGGTCCCCCGTCCCCGGACACCTTTCTAGGGTGTAGGAAAGCAGTGAACCGAGTGTGCTGAGCTTCTCGTGTTTCCCACCGCAAGACCTTGGATTTTGTGGTCTTGTCTGGAGCTACCAGACAGTCCCACCTCCCAAAGGGGAAGAAAAAGGAGACTTTGCCCCAAGCCGCTCCAGAGCTGGTATCAGCAGGCCAGCCTGAGTGTTGCTGTGACCTCAGGGAGGGAGGGCTGTGGTTGTGCCGCCCCGAGAGACGGGAAGACTGTCAGGATTGCAAACCCGGCTCGTCAAGGAAGGGCTTTGGCAGGCGTTCCCAGCAGAGGAGGAAGTTCTCTCTGGCAGCAGTGCTGGGGAGGAGTGTCTGCTGAATGCAGGCTTGTGGAGTTACCAGAATCAGAAATAAGCGCTCATGACTGAGGGATGTTCACCCCAAGGCTGCCTTTCTGCCAGCCTTTTGTTGCTGTGTCAGCCTCGTGCAGCGGGGAGGCCCCCACCACTGTCTCCTTCTCGCAGGTGAGGATCGCTTAGGAGGAGAGACTAAGGGAAGGGCTCTCTGCCCAGAGACCCACCTGTAAGCATCAGAGAGGGTTAGGAAGCCAAACTCGCTGGTACTGTAGATGATGAGATCTTCAGCCATCTTGCTCAGGTGGATCATCAGCAGGGTGGCAACAGAGAGGAATTCCACTGCAGAGAAGGCAGGACATCAGGAGGTGAAAGAGGTGCTTGTTAGCTTGACAACCCAGGGAGCCCTGACTGGAGTTTAAACACGAGCAAGCCGATTTTCTGTATAATTACCTCCTAGTGGGGGATTTCAGGCCCCTTATTAAAGGAGGTCAACTGGGAAGGTCTCGGAAGCCTGTTTCTAAAACAGCGGTGGGAAGAAGTGATCGAGTTGTGCTTACCCACAAAGTCTCTCTCGCTAACGGCATCCATGCTGTTCAAGCTGATGGAAGCAAAGTCCAGCTCTGTAAGGAAGGCGACGGACAGAGGAGGTCAGGCTTGGCATGGCTGGAGCTGGAATGCAGCAGGGTGCCCCAGCACGCAGGGGACCGTGAGCCCTTGACTAGTCCCAGGAACACCAGCATGCCTAAGTGTTACACTGGCTGGGGTCTTTGTTGTTAGCCCCAGGCAGCCAGCGTGCCGCAGAGGTGGCTCTTCCTGCTCCAACCTCAGAGGCATTGCCTGTCTCATTGCAGTAAAAAGCCTTAAGAAAGAAAGGCTTTGGCTCCAGGATAGTGCATTACATTGTCTTTGGGAGCCATGTATCAATGCTTCCCTCCCTCCTAGATATCCTGTGCCTCTCAGTCATAGGGAGACATTTACCACTACGCAGAAGCTCTCTGTCGATGTCCAGTGGGTTGCCAGCCAGAGCGCCGCTGCCAGGGGAGAAAGAAACAGAAGTCATGCATGATACCCTGCATAACCCAACGAAAACTGAGCTCTAGGAAGCAGGGACGGCACCTCTGAAGACTTTGCAGAGCAAAGCGAGGCCCAGAGAGTACACAAACAGTAAACTTTACCTTCCCAAAGGCAAGACGTTGATCCTCCTCTTCACCTCTCCCAGGCGCTCGGAATCACGGGTCAGTGCAACAGCATGGCTAGGAAAAAAACATCACGACAGTTGAAGCACCTGCAGTCAGAAAATGTCCCAAGGACCAAGAGGTAACTGTGGCCCAAGGATGGGGCGTTCAGGGAGTCGGCCTCCACTGCCCACTCGGCGCTTGAGTCCCGGCTTGGTCAGAGCCACGCAGGAACACGGGGAGCTCCTGTCCCAGTTTGCAGGGTTCGCTCTGGTTTGTCACCACCCCGGGCTGCCCCTCGGAGGACGCTGCACTTCTAGGCTCCGGCTGAGCAGGGCCCCCAGGGTGGAGAAGGCTTCCTCCAGCCACCTGCGAAAGGTGCTTACCTGAGCAAGAACTGGCTCCATCTGATGGGCTGAGCTTTCTGCAGGTGGGTGTAGCCAGGGAAGAGAACATCAATTTCTCTGCATGGGAAAGGAGAGAAAGAGGGGAGCAGCAGCTGTCAGGATGGAGGGCAGCGGCAGGCGCGCGCCAGGCTTTTCTAGCAAGGTCACAAAGAGAACTTCTTTGGCCTGGCTTGTGCCGAATTGGATCTCTCGCCTCCTCTCCCTGCCGCCTGCTCCCTAAGCACCCTGCGGTTAGATCTCCCGATCTGCCCGTGTGGTGGGCCTGCCCCAGGCCTCCCTGGAAAATTCCCTGGTACAGTAATGCCTCTGTGGCAGGCAAGGATTCCCTGTGGAATTTGTGGTTTGTGAGGAGCAGTTAGACGGGGAGTTAGCACAGCCGAGCTTTTCCCATAGGCAGCAACTTGAGCCATGTTAAAGTTCCCCACTCCTTCAGATGGATCTGGCGCCTTCTAAGGTCTCGTCTGGACCTCCCACCCCAGCTCCTTTGCCAGGGTGCACTGGGGGAAGAGGAAGGTCTCTGTGACGGGAACTGCGGAGAAGGAGGGTCCGTCGGCCTCCCCCGCGCTATCGCACGCTGCCTGGCTGTAACGTCCTCCGCAGAAGACCCCGCTGCTGCCCTGACGGGTGTCAGTCAAAGAGCAAGCCTGGAAGCCTCCTGCCCGGGCAGGGCCAAGGCCGTGGGTATGGAAAAGGACTTACACGGCAGCGCGTTCCACCAGGGTCTTAATGAGCTGCAGGAGGTGAGTGGAGATGACAGAGAGGGAATTCTTCATGAACAGCTTCAAGTCAGTCACGACCTGGAGGAGATTGGCCACAGTCAGGCAAAGCAGAATGTGACGTACTTCGTGCCTGGCCACTTTTAGTGCAAAGTAAAGCCCTCCTTGTTCTGTGTGATGGGAAGGTGCATCTTCCTCTCATCATTTGGTAATTTTGATGTGGTAATGTCACTACATCTTGCTCTCCAGGAAGAGAGCCAAAGGCCGTTCCGGTCCAAGGTCTCCTGAATTGAGGTGGGAGAGGAGTACAAAGGGGAAAAAAAAGATTCCGTACATACCTGGTCGTTCCTGCTTCTCCCAGTGTGCAGTTTTCCAGCTACGTCTCCAATCAGCTCCTGAGGACAAGAGGAGGATTTCTGTCAGCATCTCTGTGTTCTGAGGAGGAAGCTCCGCATGAGCAGACCTCCCCCTGCCTGGAAGGGACCCGGCTCTAGGATCCTGTGAGCAGCCACGGGGCCTCCTCTGGGGAAGGGCAAGTTTGGGTTCTATATTTGTACGGTGCCTCGGTCCACAAAAGGGGTCTTGGGGACACTTGATTGTGCCCCGAGGTGCAGAGGAATTTCAGAGTGGGACAGAGGCGCGTGCACTTCACGTCAGGCAGATCTAGCTACAGAGGACCGGGAACAAGAGGCTGGAGGACCCAAACCTTTAGTCTGCGTTCGTTGGCAGTGTGGATATCCTCATCGCTTTGGGTCACCACAAAGACTCCTTTTGACCATTCCTCAGAGATCTACAAACATCAGCAGAAACACCAGTCAGCCACTGGAAACCAAAGTGTTAAGTCTCCCGGGAGCTCTGCCATTCCTGTTCTGTCAGACCAAGGCTGGCTGCTTGCTAGATCCTGATGTTCTGCACTGCACGCGGTGGGATTCATCTCTCCCCGTGATGACCCTGCAGTGCCAGGGCTATAGGAGGATTTAAGCAATGCAATGAAGAAGGGAGCTGAAATGTCGGGGATTGCTTTCGCATTCTCCGCGAGGATTTCCCTATACAGACATCGTATAGACTCGCCATTGTCCACGGTGGGTGAGCAACAACAATGGATATTTTCAAAAAGCGCTTAGCTGCGGACTTCTCTTCAGCCCTATGCAAAGCTGTGCATTGCCCCCTACTAACTCAGGCAGCCAGGCTCGAAAGGATCCCAAGTGCCAGCAGAAGAAGAATATTCCTAACTCATGCTACTGCTGGGCTCTGGTGCCTTTAGCGGGGTGCGATTTCAGCATCGATCCCCTGCCCTGATGCCTCCAAGTGCACTGAGGGCAATACACGTGGGCCTGTCACGTCCATGCTTTAGGAGCGCATTCCCTTTCACAAAGCACTTCCGCACATGCCTACCTCTAAGGAACAGGACACGAGGACCTTTAAAGATGCTTTTTAGAACAGCAACTCAGGGAGGCTACTACAGATGCTGTTGGAAAAGGAGCCATGCGTTCCAGCACGCGTGACAGATGTGAAGAAACAAATACCTTTTCCAGGCCACTCAGGATCTTCTCCAGCTCAGTCTTAGACAGGATCCCAGCCTTCTCCAAGGCTTTGGCATAAGCCATGCTCCCCTGGACGTCAACTTCAGCCAGTCTCTGATCATAGGTAATGGAAGCGTTGAGCATCTCCATGACTGGGTCTGTGCTTCCGCTGAATCTTCCTCCCCAGAGTTTATCCCCCTGAGAGAGAGGAAGAAACAAATTAAAGAGGCCTAATAACGGCAGTTATGGCCCTATGCATGGAGCATCCAGTGATCTGTCGATCCAGCACAGAGGCCATGTTCAGCTATGTCCCTTCCATGTGGTAGCACTGACCAGGAAGGCCCCTGGATTGCAGGACCTTTGGCCAGTAGTTGCAGAGGTGGAGAACTTGTCACCATCACTTGGCCCTCGAGGGGTCAGGTCTGGCTCAGGCATCCTCCACGGTGCTTTCCCTCCGCAGGACTCCAGGGAGTCCTTGCAATGGGTAGCAGGGCATAGGCTGCACGACCAGCATGGATTTTTCTGTTGAGGCAGCTGCAGGTCAACAACCCTCTGATAGCCTTTTAAAGGGGGGGAAAGTAAAGCGGTCCGTAGGGAATATAGTGAAGGCTAGTATTTTCTAAGGCTTTTTGTGCTGTTGAGCTAATGGGGAGATTTTTCTTTGATTGACAAAGAGCTCTAGGCCAGCACAAGCCACCTTATGAAGTGTTTAAAGTTGCAATTTGAAGCATCTCCAGAGTCCATGACGTGCTTGCAAGCTTTGGCACAAGATCAGCATAGGACTGGCTAAGGTGCAGACTCCAGAAGGGGAGGTCTGGGTACCTTTCAGCATCAGAAAAATAAATCAACAAAAAGAGGGTTTTTAAAACACATAGGAACAAAAGTTGTTTTTCCACCCAAACCACGATTCGTATAGTGGCCTCACTCACTTGAATGCGTTATCTACCTCCCTGCTTCCCTGGGTGACCGAAGACAGGTACCCAGTTCCAGCTGTGCATCACGGCAGGGTGTGCGCCAGCTCGTTTTCCCCAGTGATTTGGCAGCTGAGTGGATTCGCTGGCTAAGAGCCGCCTCTGTCGCTTGATCAGCAGCTTTTTGCTTGCCCGGGTAGGGCACCCCGACGCCCTGCCTCTGGCAACCTTGCGCTGACACGGACAGGAATTTCACTTGTGCGGAGACCTTACAGCTTATCCGAGAGTTCAAAAGCAACTCTCCAGCCCCAGCAGGCACAAAAAAGAAACGGGAGGACACTTAGAGGAAGGGCACAAACACAATTTCCATTACAGAGTGGGTAAGAATGAGTAATCTACTTGATTTTTTTAATCGCCCCTGTCAGTCTTTCTCATGCTGTGCACTGTAACTACCATGGACAGCAAGAAGCTGCGGGGCAGCCGCAAGCTGATCTGTGCCAGGCTTTATCAGTCAGCCAAAGCACGGGTGAGTAACCTTAGAAACGCTTGTCCTGGTGACCGTCTCCCATCTCTGCCGATGGCTGCTGAAACACCGTGCCTGAGAGGACGGCGGGAGAGGCCTGCGGAGGTCAGAGCGTGGGCACGTGCCTTTTGACATCTTTAAGGCAGCTTTGTCGGAGAGCTGAGGGGAGGCAGAGGGGGGGATCAGAACTGAAAAAGAAAAGCGTTAGAGGCCCTCCGCAGGCATCTGGTGCCCATGGGAGCGTGGCTCAGGGATGCGAAATTAAAGGCCAGTAGCAGAGGCTAAGCGCTTGAATGGGGAACAGGCATCTAGGTGTATCTTCAGTACTGCAGGTTTCCACCAAATAAGAAGTGGGGTAGCAGAAACATTGCAACAGACACGTTTGCAATCGGGAAATCAAAACTGAAAGATTAACTTTAGCTGCAGGACTCTGGCTGGAGAAGTGGCAGGCACAGTCTGACGGCTGCTGGACCCTTGGCTGCAGCCCAGAGCGGAGGAGGCCCGGGCTGTGGCAGCCGTCCGGAAGGCAGAAAGCGTGACTCGCCAGGGCGGCTGCTCACGTCGCACCTACCCGCACGGAAACTGAAAACGCAGCTTTTGTCCAGAGCAGTATTTGCACAAGCTGCTGTAAAGTGCCTCCTGCCTACACGCAGGCCGGCAGGAACGGACCGCAGCGGTTATTTGTCTCTCCCAGGCGGGGGGAAGAACCGGACGGCAATGGCAGGGGCTGAGATTTTAACTCGGTGGAACTCGCGGTTGCCAGCGCACCCGAGACCCCCCCTCCAGGGAAGCAAAGTTCGCCCTCACCTCGGCTGCCATTTCGGACGCCGTCTTGCTGGTTGGTGCAGCGACCCTGGCCACTGGTGCAACCTGCGGAACGGCGAGGTGAGGCGAGGAGAGGTGAGGCGAGGCGAGGCTCAGTCCCGGTCCCCGCTCACCGCTCACCGGTCCCCGGTCCCCGCCCGGCCCCGCTCACCGGCCCCGCTCGGCTCGGCTCGGCTCGGCTCCGCTCC